TACCTGTTGGTCATCTTCAGCGGTGTAGCCTTCTCCTCCATGCCCTCTTCTCTGTCTGTCTGTATTTCCAGTACCTTTCCCTGTTATTCCTCATTTCCAGGTGTAAGAGCTTCCCTCGTGCAGTACTTACCTAGGATACTCTGTTCCCCAGAAGAAAGGTTTTTGCAGTTCTCCTGCTGGGAATCCTGCAATAGCAAAAACAGTAATAGTGAGGTCCCTAGTTCCACACAGCTGAACAACAGTCACAAAGCCCAAGGATTTGGATTTTATGACCTTTTCTGTTTAGTTTCAGAAGGTTTTGCTAGAGGAGCTTTCCCTCAGGCGGTAGTTTCAGAATGCGGTAGAGAGGATCTTTGAGAAGAAACAGAGATCCTCCCTCCTTCAGGACCACAATGGCAACAAGATGCTGCACTGCAAGAACTTTATTTTCTTCTGTGGCTACACACATGTCTGCGTGTGCCAGTGCATGTGTTCCTGTGAATAAACACCTAGTGTTTCCTGTGAAAAAGAAGAAAACTATTGCATTGCCCTCAGATGTTGACAGATCAATAGAGAATATATAGGCAAAATGCAACAAGAATTAGGAAACTGCTAGCTTAGTGAGGCTTCAGTGCGGCAAGACATATGGAAGTGGTAAAATGTAAGCCTAGTTCTATATAGTCTATGAAAAACAAAGGTAAATGGATGTACTTAAGCACTTTGTTAAAGGAGACCTGTAGACTATTAAGGCTGTAGAGTCAGTCTAGCTACAGGAATTACTTGGCTGCTTCTGGCAGACTAGCTAGTCACCAAAAACCTGTAAATGGAGACACTCTAGAAATTATCCACTGATGTTGCACATAGAAACCAAAATGTTCCTCAAATCCAAAGTCATAGGTCTGTTTCTAATTCCTGGATGACATTTCAGTGCCACGATTCTGAAGACAGTGGAGCTGAACATGGTAACAGTTTAACAGCCCAAAGGACTGCTAAATAAAAGACACCTATGGTCAAAGTTTTCAAATTCTGGTGAAAATTGCAGTCCTTCCAGCACCAAATGTGGAATATGATGTCTCGTGTCAGGAATTCCCATGTATCAAGTACAGGCATACACCTACTTTGAAGGTTACCTGAGATGGACATCACCTTGTCAATGAGGAACCAATTTCCTCTGGTTATTCGCTTGCTTTCCCAGGAACCTCTGCTTCAGTCTCTCTTCAAGAAATCAGCTGGCCACTCAGATAAAAAAAAACCCAAACCACACTCATTTGATTCTGACCCTCTGCAGGTTTTTGTTGATAAATAGGACATGGATTTCTTTATATCTGAGATAAATTGTCAGGCAAGATTTGTGTCCTTTCCTTACAAAGTCTTTAAAGACAATATGCTGAGTGTAATTCGTTTCAAATTATGTGGCAAGTGGCATGTCCTCCTGGCCTGCCCATCTGCTTTTTTCTGCTGCTCCTCCCTTGCTGCCTTGACCACCTATTTGCAATTAGCTTACAAATAGTGTGGGTTTCAAACTTATTTTCTAAGTGTGGTTTTTTTTCTTTTACTTCTCCACATGCTGCTTTGTTGTTTCAAGCATGTTGTCATTTGCTTTTCCAGTGCTACAAAACACAATTGTACCAATGTCAAGGACAAAGTTTTCCTGATCTAACTCCTTGCCTCCCAGCATGCACCGAAGAGTATTTAGTATTTACTATGTACATTTTAAAACATCTCACAACTATGGTACACTCACGCAACCTGCTGAAAACTGCTTATTAGTACAGTAAGTTCAGAGCTGGTGTTAAGAGCTGGAAATGTAGTCTGAATTACATTGCCTGGTTCCTTCCAAATATTGCACCTCAGGAAAGGGTTTTGGACATGCTAAAAAGATCATTTAATGAAGGAATCATTAGGGGCTGCTGACCCCGAATCATCCTCTCCCCCCAACAGCAGATGAGAGGAACAGTGGCCAAAATGAAGAAATGAGCCCATACTGAAGATGGTATGCACCCCACAAATCACGTTTAGGGGTCACACAATCCTGTGTGCCTGTCACGGCACCAAGAGGCTATCAAGATCTTGTAAGGAGCTGCAATTATTTTGTCCAGTTATAGACTTGTGTGGTGAATTTGCACTTGTCTGTGTGCTAGGTGGATGTAATATACATTAAACTAGGTACACTAGGTGCAAACCTTCACTCAGGCTCATCCATCTAAGAAACATAACCTGAAGGTGTCTTCATAGGACACACAGTCTGAAACACAGTCAGATATGAGTTAAACCATGAGGTAAAGTTTTCACTAAACAAGTGACGTGAATGCACGGGAAGAAGCTCCAATCCTGAGTCCATACAACAGGTTGATAATTATTTTACTCAAAGTCAGGATCCATTTTAGGTAAGACATGCCTGAGCGTAGAGCTTGCTGATGGAGTGGTTTCTGCTTCTGGGCAGCTGTGTGAAACACCTTTGTATCTTCATTGCACTAGAGTAAGCTTAGGAGGTATTTTCAGGCTAAAGCAGTGTCAGAAGCCATTAGAAGGTAAGACACATTTAAAAAAAACCTCAGGGAACCAGAATGTATTACCCACAATAGGATTTTTCTTTTCTTTTTTAAGAAAAAAAAATACCTAGTTTTGAAAGTGATTCTTGGGCAGCTAGTAACGCAAAAGTGTCCTGTTCTCCAGAGATTAGTAGCACTAAATGAAGGAGGGTGCTTGTCCACTACTGCAGCAGTACAAGGAACAGATTCGGAGTTGGCAACACAGGGCATCACTTTATGCAATGTCTTCCTCAGGCAAGCATCAACCAGATCGTCCTTGCAGGGAACAAGGATAACAAAGTCCTAGACCTAGAATCTCCTTGAAATTATAACAGGAGAAAGATCGCCTGACAGTTTCTTATTTTGTGCTGTTTTGAATCTCTCAATTTAGGCAATTCCCTTGTGAAGTCTGTTTCTTGCTTGCTTGGCATATTGTACCTGAAAGAATTAATGACAAAACTCAGAGAGCTCATAGTAGGCTGTAGAAGCAATAAATACTAACGGGATTATTTACATGCCACTGGAGTTCAAGCAAGCAAAGTACTGATCTGCAGGAGTAAGTCAGCCAGACTTCAGAGAGTTTCACATCTTAAGGAATGGATACAGGCACTGGGAAGGTACTTTAAGCTAACACTTCACCATAAATTTAGCCCGTAGTGCATCTTTTCATGCTTTCTCCCTCAACACAGCCCCAAAAGAGGGATATGAGATGAAAGCCTCTCAATAAAGTGTATGTGTACACTGCATTGCCAGTGCAGGCTCAGCAAGGTCATTACTCACCAACAGCAGATGGAAAGAAAACTGTGTTGTCTTATTACAGACCCCACACAAACCTATCTGCCATATGTAGGACCTGGACTTGCAGAATCAGGCTTGCCTACCTTCTTACAACCTACCTACTGCTGGAACAATCATAGGACTGCAGCATCATTCTGAGATGGGCACTGGTGTCACATGCCACAAGAGCACTGGAGGTCTGGGGTCAGCACCGTTCAAGCTGACACAGAACAGCAGTGATATCCTACATCCATGCATCTTACAGGTGGCAAGGTGGGACAGCCAGGCTAGACCATCCTCCAGATGGACTTTATGCCACTGACCACAACACTTTAGAGCCCAGCAGTTCTAATCACAGCTCTTTTAGCCCAGCAGTTCAACCAGTTTTCAGTCCACCTCAATATCCACTTGTCTAGCCCATTCTTCAGCAGTTTGTATTTGAGAATGTTATGGGAGACAGTGCTTAAAATCTTGCTAAAGTCAAGATGAATCACATTCATGGCTTTCTGCTCATCCACCAAGCTAGTCATCTCATCATAGAAGGCTGGTCAAGGAAACTGTTTTCAGGATTTACTCCATCATGTAAACAGGGGTTTACATGTGAGGCTGATGTGAGGCTTGCCAGCTTGTAGTTCCCTGGATCTTCCTTCTTGAAGATAGGAGTGACATTTGCTTTCTTCCAGTCCTCAGGAACCTTCCCCAATCACCACAACCTTTCAAAGATAATCAAGACCCTCACAAAGGCATCAGCCAGCTCCTTCAGCACTCAAGCACTTGTAGGTTCACCCTGTCAGAGCCCATGGACTTGTGTCTGCCCAGGTCTCTTTAAATATTCTCTAACCTTCTCCTCCTCCGCTGAGGATAAGTCTCCTTGCTCCAGGCTTCCCCTCTGGTCTCAAGGGCCTGGGATTCCTGAAAGCCAGTCTTACTATTAAAGACTGAGGCAATGAAGGCATTGACTACCTCAGCCTTTTCTGTTTCATTTGTCACCAGGTCCCCTGCCCCATTCAGCATTGGACCACATTTTCCCTGGACTTTCTGCTGCTGCTGCTGCTACACTTGCAGAAATGTTTCTTGGTGCCCTTCACATCCCTCGCCAGCTCCACCTCCAGGTAAGCTTTGGCTTTCCTAACCCCTGTGTCAACAGCGACTCGTTGCTGAACTTTCCTCTTACTTACCTTACTGCTCTGGAACACAGGGGCATTTGTACATCTGTCTTTCTTCAAATATTTCACTCTAAATTTATGCTGATCTTGAAGCTCTGATAGCACTCTTTACCTGTGCAGGACTGCTTTTAACTTAATTGAAGGCTTCTAGATTAATTTTATCCATTATATCAATTTTCAGCCTCTCTCTGCAGCAAGGTGCTATAAAGCTTGTTAGAATGTATTTCAAATTTGAAACGTTAAATATTTTTTTTCCTCACTTTTACAGGGGCTTTACTGCCATTAATGAATCCATTTACCAGCTAATACCTTTATGGTATTATTATACACATTTTGCAGATGAGCGCCCTGAGACTCAGTGTAATATTGTTACTTCACTGAGGAGACACAAGCAATCACATTTCATCTGATATTTCACTGAAATGATGCAGATTAATAACGGATGAAGTAAACTAAAAACACATGAGATGGCTCACCAAATCATAAGGAAATTTGGAGTTCAAATCTAAATACGAATTCAAATTATATAGTTCAAGTGCATTATTCAGTTATATTGAATGAAATTTTTAACTGAGCAAGAAAAGACCTAGTAAAGCCTTATTCCAAGTCAGTGCATTTACAGTTTCCAATTATTAGTTGTCTTTTTTAAAGCAACTTCTGACAGGCTAGTGAATCCAGTATGTAAATAGTGGATATGGGAGACAGCTGTGCTAAACTGTGTGATATACAGGG